ACTGAGGATATTTTTCCCATTGATTTTTTTTTTTTTTAGAGAGAGTGGATCAGAAGAAACATCGATGTGAGAGATACATCAATTGGTTGCCTCCTGTATGCCTTCCCCCGACCCCTGACCAGGAGCCTGCAACTGAGGTACATGCCCTTGACTGGAATCATACCCAGGACCCTTCAGTCTGTAGGCCAATGCTCTACCCACTGAGCCAAATTGGCTAGGGCCAGGCCTGTGCCTTTTTAAATAGAATAAAATGTTTATTTAATCTTTATTGCCTATCCTGAGCTATTTCTCATAAAAGTGTAATTGATTCAAGAAATACACACACACACACACACACACACAAAAAAACAAACAAAACAAAAACAAACAAAAACAAAAACAAAAAAATAACCTTGTATTTATAATTTTTATTTTAGGAAAGTGAACATAAGCTAATTACCTAATTTTTAATAGAGTTGATAGGAATATAAGTATATAATTTATAGTATGAATATTTATGAAAGTAAACACTAATTGTAGGAGGTACAATAAAAAAGTGTGCCCAAAATGACTGGGATAATGGTTGTTAGATTTACAGATAGCTCATCAGGACTTTTTCCTAGAAATTTCGACTCAGTAGATTTCACCTGGGGCCTGGGAGTCTGTTACTTAACAAGACCTCTCCAAGTGTTTCTTATTTTCAGCCAAGTTTAGGAAATTAGCAGTGGACCTGCTTCCCCATATCTTGACTTTGGCGTAAGTCCAGTTCAAATATTAATGGCTGTATGATTGGTGCCTCACATACACTAACACAGCTAGAAAGATGGGTTGTCTAAGGGCTTAGCAGAAAATCTACAGCTCACCTTATTTCTTGTGCTTTGATTGAACCAAAAGCCAGCTTGAATTTTAGGGGTCCCGATAAGTGTGTCTAGTGTAATTTAGAATTTTGATGTTTGAAATTGATAATTGTTTTCAACCATGGAGCTACTGCCACAGATAATTATCTTCCAGGGGTTAAAAAAATATATCCTATTTAATAAAGAGGTAATATGCAAATTGACCATCACTCCAACACACAAGATGGCCACCCACATGTGGTCAAAGATGGCTGGCAGAAGAGGGTAGTTGTGGGCAACCAGGCCAGCAGGGGTGGACAATTAAGAGTGACCGGGCCTGCAGGGGAGGGTAGTTAGTGGGCGACCAGGCCAGCAGGGGAGGGCAATTGTAGGCAACCAGGCCTACAATTGCAGGGGAGGGCAGTTAGGGGTGACAATGTCGGCATTTAGGGGCAACCAGGCCTGAAAGGGAGGACAGTTAGGAGTGACCAGGCCTGCAGAAGAGGGCTGTTAGGGGGTGACCAGGCCAGCAGGAGAGGGTAGTTAGGAGTGACCAGGATGGCAATGGAGGACAGTTGGGGTGCCTGGGCCAGCAGGGAAGGGCAGTTAGGGGCGACCAGGCCAGCAGGGGAAGTTAGGTGTCGATCAGGTTGGCAGGGGTGTGGTTAGGGGGTGATCAGGCTGGAAGACAGAAGTGGTTAGGAGCAATCAGCAGGCAGGCAGGTGAGTGGTGGGAACCAGCAGTCCTGGGTTGTGAGAGGGGTCCCAGACTGGAGAGAGTGCAGGCCAGCTGAGGGACACACACACACACACACACACACACACACACACACACACACCGTGCACAAATTTCATGCACTGGGCCTCTAGAGCGTGTGTGCGCACTATAACATGCTGACACATGGAAATCTATAAATAAATTTTATGCTGAGGCAGTTGTGTGTCCTAAAATAAAATATTTATTCAAAATGTTAAAAAATATAGAAAAATAATAGCTAGCAATTTTTAGGTGTGCCACTGTATGCCAGGTACTATGCCAAGCACTTTTCAATATAGTTTATCATTTAATCCTCACAACAATCCTATGAAGGTGGTGTTCTTAGTATTCTTTTTGCAGAAGAGTTAATTGAAGTAGCCCAGAGAGGTTAAGTAAAAGTAACTTGCCCATTGTTTATAGGGTTTTTGTTTGCTCATTTTAAATTGGGAATGTCCTAAATGACTTTTAGGTGAACTTATTTTCTTTGACTTCTTTGACTGAATTATTATTTACCTTGAAATTTGATTTCTTCTATTGCCTCATTCTCTTATAAAATAAAAACCTCTTATATATTTTAACAAGGAATGTGAATTAACATATAGATATCACTTTGGAACATTCAAATGATGAAAGAATATGACAATTTAATAAAAGGAAAGTGTTTATTGTCACTTTGAGAACGTAATTTAGTGATTTATCTGGGAAGTAATATCTATGACTATACATAAAGGGGTGAGCGAAAGTAGATTTACAGTTATAATACAAATAAGTAACACAATAATAATAAAACAACAATAAAATCTGTGTTTCACATATTCAACAACTATAAAGCTACTATTGTCCACCCCTGGATATTGTTATCCTGAAGCTATTTATTTTTTTATTTTTTTATTTTTTAGTCTGGAGATTTTTATATTTTTGAGCATAGAAAGAAATTCTGGCAATTGTTTGTTTCAATTGATACACAATTTATTAAAATTTTTAACATTGCCAGTTTTATTATTTTTTATTTTTTTAATATATTCTATTGATTTTTTTACAGAGAGGAAAGAAGGATAGAGAGCTAGACACGTTGATGAGAGAGAAACATTAACCAGCTGCCTCCTGCACACCCCCTACTGGGGATGTTCCTGCAACCAATGCATGCCCTTGACCGGAATCGAACCTGGGACCTTTCAGTCCTCAGACTGATGCTCTATCCACTGAGCCAAATCGATTTCAGCAACATTGCCAGTTTTAACATCTAGTTTTTTCTTAATGCTTTAAGCTCAACTTATGCATTTAAAAATAAATTTATTAACTCCATTATGCTTCAGTTAACATCTTTAAATTACCAAATTAAAAACCCTGAAACATTTTAAAACACAATGAACAAAGTAAATCGAAAAGCATAATCAAACAAATATTGTCAATCTAATAAATCAAATTTATAAATTCAGTAAACCAAGTTCTCCTAAATATTAAACACTGCTTACTAACTTACTATGTAATCCTATCTAATAATAGCAATATGCAAATTGACCATCACTTCACTACACCCATAAGCATTTCCCACCAGCCTATAAGGAACAAGTATGCAAATTAACCCAACCAAGATGGCTGTGGCCATGAAGTGAGCAGGAGGCTTGCGTTTCCCTGGTAATGGAGGAACCCAAGTTTTCCGCACACCCTGGCCTGCCTTGGTCTCCACTTAAGGCTATAAAGTTTCAATTATAAAAGATACTTAAAGCCCAACAAAAATGTCTGTGGCCATGGTGCAAGCAAGAGGCTTGGCTCCTCAAGGTTACAAAGTTTTAATTATAGGAGGTAAATAAATCCCAGATACCAGGGCCTCTGCTTAGGTCACTGGGGGTTGTGGCTGGCCTGAATACCACCACAAGCTCTTTGCCCAGGCTGCCCCAAGGGAATCCCCAACCTGATCTGAGACACCCTTCAGGGCAAACCATTTGGCCCTCACCCATGCACCAGGCCTTTATCCTATTTAATAATCTAATATAAGAGTAATATTCAAATTGATCATTACTCCATAACACAAAAGATGGCTATCTCCATGTGGACACAAGATGGCCGCCACAAGATGGCCATTAGTGGAGGACAGTTGGGAGGGACCAAACCAGCAAGGGAGGGCAGTTGGGGGCGATCAAGCCTGCAGGGGAGGGCAGTTAGGGGTTACCAGGCTGGCAGAGGAGGGAAGTTGGGGGTGACCAGGCCTGCAAAGAAGGGCAGTTGGAGGGGATCTAGGCCTGCAGGGGAGAACAGTTGTGGAGGACCAGGCCTGCACAGGAGGGCAATTAGGGGCATACTGGCTAGCAGGGTAGCAGTTAGGCATCAATCAGGCTGGCAGGGGAGTAGTTAGGGAGTAATCAGGAAGGCAGGCAGGTGAGCAGTTGGGAGCCAGCAGTCCTGGATTGTGAGAGGGATGTCCGACTGCCCGTTTAAGCCCAAACCTACCGGGATAGGGCCTGGGCCTAAGCAGGCAATCAGACATTTCTTGAGTGGTCCCAGATTGAAGAGGGTGCAGGCTGGACTGAGGGATACACACCCCCATACACAAATTTTGTGCATGGGGCCTCTAGTTTATATTTTAATCACAAGTCTGAGATAATGGATTCTCTAAAAACATTTCTAATATATCTTAAAAACAAAACAAAAAACCACCAGAATAGACAAATTATCAGCTAATTCCTAACTTACCAATATGTTTGTATCTTAAACCAAATGCATAGTCTTCATTTTATAGGTAGGAATCACTCCTTAAGCTTGTCATTTTTATCCCACGACTACAATGTACTTGCACAATAAAGTAGAATAGAATTTTCATCTTTCAGCCTTGTACCACAACTAGAATAATACATTTGGGACTGGGCAGGGCATCTACATGTACTTGTCAACCATAGTCTGCATTGGACCCTTCTACCTCTTTCTTAGGCAGGCTTTTGCTTGCCCTTGTTAACAGAAACCTTGTGAGTCCTCACGTAAATTTAAGTAAGCATTTTAAGTTTTACATTTTTGCAACCTGGTTCTTTTCTTAGAAATGATGCATCCTATAAGTGTTTCCTTTTGATTTTTGCAACCTGATATTTTTCCTAGAAATGATGCATCCATTAAATTTTTTTCTTACATTCTAGAAATATGATTTTCTTCCTAGAAATAATTCATTCCTTAAGTTTTTTCCTTAGGTTACACTTCATCCCTATTATAATGGGATTTCTTAAGTCCAGTTATGTAAAAACTGTGTAACCTTTGGCATTAAAGTCAACTTGTGTACTAATGGGTTTTGACACCCTTCATAGGTTACTTTAACAACCCTTCTCTTTTATAATTTAATAGCTGTCTCATTGGCCATCAGTCATTTTATTGACAATAATGATCAAGTTTAATTTTAACCCCTTTAAATTCATAAAGCCAAAATGATTTTTCTCTCCTAGGAATGCCAGAATCACCTCCGCAGATATGGAAATGTGAATCTGGAACTGGTGACTCGAATCATTAGAGATGGTGGCCCATGGGAAGATCCAGTGTTGCAAGCTGTCCTTAAAGCCCAGCCAGCATCTCAAGAGATAGGTACTTCAGGAAACTCAAAATCAAAACCAACATTTGTGAGAAACAAACCCAATTTTATTTTCTCAGTAGAGCAGTCGTAGTGATTTTTCTTTATTTTATAATATTGAGTAGGAGTTATGTGTTTTTATATAAAGTGTGTTTAATTTGTTGTATTAACCTGCCCTAAGAGTGACTTTTGACATTAGACTTGAATACATTTATTTCTAGTAATTTCCCATTCTAATGGGAATTAATACATTTTTGTCCAGATGTTATTTATAGAGAATTCCTTTGCTTTTGTCACTGCAATTATAGTTTAAATATCTATTTAAGTTGCCAAACTCTTTTAAAACAAGACAAAACAAAACAAAACAAAATACTCTGCTTAGGTACATAAGATCTCCCTTATACAGAAGCAGCTGTGAGGGCTATAACTCATCTGATTTTTGTCACTACTACTGTATATCTCACACCTAGCCCAGTGCCTGGTAGAGAGTAGTTGCTTATAAGTACATGTTGACTGAATGAATGACCACATGATGATTGTGTAAGTGAATGAGTCACTAAAGTAAATTTCAATTCCAGATACTGGAGAGCAGTATTGCCCAAACTTCATCCATTAATAGAAGTTAAATTTTTTCTCATTCCTTTACCGCCTGCATACTTCTTTGACATCACCTCCTCTTAAACCTAGATGTACAGTGGTTCCTGTGGGCCAGAATTTTCCTTTGAGGAAGGAGGCTCTGTCAACTCCTTCTCACTTATTATTCGTAAGCCACAGAACATTTTTGATCACCAAAGCTTAGAATGTATAGCTGAATAAGCACAAAACTGTGAAAGACATTTGAATGCATGGATAGAGCCTAAGGAGTACAATTATAAGATTGCCAAAAGGAAAAGAGAACTCCCAACTCTGGAACCATTCAGACCTTGGTCTGGTGAAAAAGACTTCATACTACAGATTGTGCTCAAGGGTTAGGATCTGTCCATCTGTCCCAGGATAGGGATGGGTTGTGGGTAGAGTTGAGTGGAAAAGGAGCTGTGATTCTTGGGCTTAAGAGAAAGCCAACCCAGATATAAATGTGGAGGCCAACAACAGAGATGTGAGAGATGATGAAAGATAAGGCCAGAAGAAATAGTGCAAAGCAGTGGGATGAGATGGAAGATAGGACAAAACAGGAGGAAAAGGCTGAAGTATATATGTGACAGTAGTATATGCCCAAGGGATGCAAATGAGATAAACTTGATATGAGGGTTTGGAGGAGGAATAAAAGAAATGAAGCAGCTGGAACTGAGGAGGAAGAGTTGGATGGCTGAGGAAAGGTAGAGTCAAATATATGTAAGGTAAGGGTGACAGGCTGAAGGAAACTGAGGAGACTGGGGAATTGAGGAAAGGGGGTAGGAGGTAGATAAAACAGCTTCCAAAGGAGTGAAAAGTTAGGACTTTTAGGAGCGCTTTTAGGCTTCTCTGAGTAGGAGCTAGAACAAACATATTATGAGTTGCTTTGAGGGCTGATGGCCTTAATTTATGTATATATAGTTGTGCACATATAGTTCTTTCTTACTTACATTGACACACCTCACTCTGGGGAAAGCTGCTCTAGAGCCTCATTAATATGAATGACTTCTCTGGTTGGTGATCGTTAGGGTGAAGACTAGTTTGAGGTTTATCTTTGCATTAACTGTACAGATCTATATCTGTTTATCATATGTTGGAAACAGAACTGCAAGGCAAATATTGGCACCCAAATAAAACATCACTCATAAGTATTTTAGAAGCTAATGATTAAACATATAACTAATTAAAATACTTGGAGTCCAGAATGATACATATATTCTAGTTCCTGCTTTGCCACTTAATTTTTGTCTTTGGGCAAGTCATTTGACCTTTCTTGAGACTCAGTTTTATAATCTGTAAAACAAATACTATGTTAACTGTCATAAGGTTGTTGTTAGGTTTAAGTAAACTTAGTAGATAGAGGTATTTGTATATTTTTTAATTGTGTAAAACCAAGTATTTGTTAGTAATTATTCTTTGTGATACATGAGCACATATTAATAAGCATTCCTTTTGGCTTAATATTTTGTTGACAAGCAATAAAATATATTTCTTTATGATTTAACTTTTTCATTAACTCATCAGTAATGAAAATATTGAATACTAAGATCAGAGGGCATAATCTTAGGGTAGAAATTGCATTCCCCATGTTATTTGAAACATTTTAACATATTAGTGAACTGAAAAATAAATATTTTAGGGTTTTTACTTTTTAGACTGAGAAGAAATCAACAGATGTTTCTTTTCTTTTTTCCAGTTTTATTTTTTTAAAAATTTTTTATTAAGATATTATATGTGTACATATCTTACCAGTCAACAACTATTTCTTAAGCACTGTTCTGTTGTCACTTTTCCATTTTTCCAATCATATAATTATATATATTTTTTCACAAATAAACTTTTACTAAGAAAATGCTATTTATTTAACTAGTTAATCTAATTAAATGCTACAACAATTAAAAGTTTGAGAGCATCCTTTCTTGAGAGTAATATGAGTCTATTCTCTTTTTAAATACAGTGAACAAATACTTAAGTTCGGAAAATCCACTATTCTTTGAACTACGTGCCAGATACCTAATTGCTTGTGAACGCATTCCAGAAGCAATGGCTCTTATTAAGTCTTGTATAAATCATCCAGAAATCAGCAAAGATTTATATTTCCATCAAGCACTCTTCACATGTCTATTTATGTCACCTGTAGAAGAACAGCTATTCCGGGAGGTATTGTTTAAGATTTTGTTTGTCTATCATCATTTTAAACTTATAATAAAAAATGGGGGAAATGTAGCAGAATCTTGTTAAATTCTTTTTATAGTAATACCAAGAGTTTTCAGATTAAATTATTTAGATGTGTTCTCTTTAACACCATTTTTAAGCTCATTTAAGTTAGATAAAATCTGATATTAACAAATGATGAAATTAATAAAACATTAATAAGCTTCATTTTATTTACTTATTTAATCCTCACCCAGGTATATATTTATTGATTTTTAGAGAGAGAGGAAGGGTAGAGAGAAAACACTGATGTGAGTGAAAAACATGGATCAGTTGCCTTCCATACATGCCCCAACTAGTGATCGAAACCATAACCTAGGTATGTGCCCTGACCACGAATTGAACCCACAGCCTTTTGGTATATACTTCAAATCAACTGAACCACCTGGCCAGGACAGTGATAAGCATTATTTATGTTGAGATTCTGTTGTGACAGAGGTCAATTAAAAACTGAGAATCATGATTTTGCCTTTTAAATAAAATATTAAAAATGTAAATTTTCATGTTTGTTATTTTGTTTTTTTTCAAGATGAAGGAATCTTCCTAATATGGACCCTACTTAGCTATAAGTTATAAATATTAATGAGATTAAAAGTAACTGTAAACTATAGGTGCTATATAGTAAAATTATGAAACTGAAAAATTTTCTGTACAACTCATTGTCTTTGTAGAATAAAACTAAACATCTAATTTATTCTAAATATTTAAACATTTACTGTAACTAGCTTTTTAGATATTTTTAATGGCATGAACTAATTTTTCCTCTTACAGCATTTATTGAAAACTGATTGTAAGAGTGGAATTGATATCATCTGTAACACTGAAAAAGAAGGAAAGACTATGTTAGCCTTGCAACTCTGCGAATCTTTTCTTATTTCACAGCTCCAGAATGGGGATATGTATTGTATCTGGTAAGTGTTCCTAATATTGAAATTAAAGTAAGATGGGGAACAGAAGAATTGGTTAGCAGAGTTTGGATTTTATATTTTTTAAAGTTATGTGAAAATGTTAAATAAGAAGCAATAGTGCCTAAAGATTAAAAAAGAAAATGATCAGTTACCAGTAATTGAGGTAAATATTTAAGGTATGTGATACAATGAAACAATCAAGTTTTAAATTAAATTTGGAGTGTTAGCTTGTTTATTTTTTAATTTAAGACAATTTTTTTAGAGTAGTTTTACATTAACAGCAAAACTGAGAGGGAGGCATAGACATTTTCCATATACCCCCTGCTCACACACATACATATCAATATCACTCACCAGAATGGTACTTTTTTTTTTTTTTTTAATCAAGGATGAACCACCAGTGACTCATTATAATAACACAAAGTTCATAGTTTACCATACAGTTCACTCTTGGTTTTATATATTCTATGGGTTAAACAAATATATAATTACATATATATCACTATAGTATAATACAGAGTATTATCACTGCCCTAAAAACTTCTGTGCTCTAACTCTTCATCTGTCTCTGATCCCCATGTCTGGAAAGCACTTATCTTTATACTGTCTTCATAGTTTTGCCTTTTCAGAGTATAACCTAGTTGGAATCATATAGGTACCCTTCTCAGAATGATTTTTACCTTAGTACTATACATTTAAGGTCCATGTCTTTTCATAGCTTGATAGCTCACTAATGCTAAATAATATTCCCTTGTCTGATGTACCACAGTTTATCTGTTCACATACTGAAGGACATCTTGGTTGTTTCTAAGTTTTGTCAATTATGAATAAAGCTGCTATAAATGATTTGTGTGCACGTTTTTATGTGGACATGTTTGCAACTCCTTTGGGTAAAAATACCAAGGAGCACTATTGCTGGAACATAGGTAAGAGTATGTTTAGTTGTATAAGAAACTGCCAAACTGTCTTCTAAAATGGCTGTACCATTTCTTATTTCCACCAACAACTTATGAAAGTACCTTTTGCTCATCTTCACTAGTATTATATTTGTTGTCAGGGTTCCAGATTTTGGCCCTGCTAACAGGTGTATAGTAGCATCTCTTTGTTTCATTTTGCATTTCCCTGATGTTATAAGATGTGGTGCATCTTTTTCATATGCTTTCTTGCCATCTGTATATCTTCTAGTGAGATGTCTGTCCATTAAGATTTTGGCCCATTTTTTCAATCGAGTTGCTTGTTTTCTTATTGTTGAGTTTTAAGAGTTCTTTGTATATTATGGATAATAGTAATTTATCAGATTTCCTTTATGTTTTCTCCCAGTCCATGTCTTTTATTATTATTATTATTATTATTGTTGTTGTTATTGTCTTTTACAGAGAAGAGGTTTTTAATTTTAGTGAAATCATATTTATTTCATGAATCATGTTTTTGGTGTTTTGTCCAAAATGGTGTCAACATACCCACGTCATCTCAGTATTATCCTACTATGTTATATTCTAGAAGTTTTATAACTTTGTATTTTATGTTTAGGTCTTGTGGTCCATTTTGAGTTACTCTTCATGAAGGTTATAAGGTCTGTGTCTAGATTCATTACTTTCCATGTGGATGTCCAGTTCCAGCATCATCTGTTGAAGAAACTACCTTTGCTCCATTGTATTGCCTTTGTTTGAGGTCAACTATATTTATGTGGGCCGATGTCAGGGCTCTGTATTCTGTTCCAATGATCTATTTGTTCTTTCACAATACAACAGTGTCCTCATTACTTTAGCTTTATAGTAAAACTTGAAGATAGATTGATTAATCCTCCAACTTTGCTCTTCTTCAATATTATTTTGGCTATTCTGGATCTTTTACTTCTCCATATAAACTTTAGAATTAGTTTGTTATTATCCATAAAATGACCTGCTGGGATTTTGATAGATATTGCATTAAATCTACAGCTCAAGCTGGGAAGAACCAGCATCTTGACAATATTGTGTCTTCCTATCCTGAAAAAAATCTCTCAATTTATTTAGGTGATTTAATTCACCCGAGTTTTGTAGTTTTCCTCATAAATTTTGTGCATATTTACTTAATTTGTACCTAAATATTTTGTTTCTTAGGTGCTAATGTAAATGGTGTTATGTATTAGTTTAAAAAAAAAACACATTTTAAGAATTACTTAGAAATTATTAGTAGGATATGTAACTTAGAATGTATTATGAGTGTTTCCAATACTTACTCTTAGGTGAAACCATGAATAATTATTATAAGAGATTCTAATAACTTCTGTCCCCCTTCCCCAACACACATACACACACACACACAAACTTTACCACTTTGACATTTCATTAATTTTGAAGGGAAAACTAGGTTTCATTTGCTGAATATAATAATCTGAAATGATATGGGCTAGAAATATTTTTATCAGTGCTTTTGAATTTTACATATTTAAAATAATAGCTCAAAAGGGGATTTAAGCTAAACTAATTTAATATTCTTGTTTTATAGATTAAAATCTTCAGACTAAGAGATAAATAGGTCATTAATAACAGAACTAGGTCTAAAAACTAGTGGGTTATCTTCTAGGAGAGAATACTTTTTAGTTAGATTATATAAGTTTTTATTCAGAAGTTTACCTGGTAAATTGGAATTTCACTTAAGTGAAATTCACTGGAATACACTTAAGTGTCATTTCTTGATAAACCGTAATCCAAAACAGAAGATAGTAATGACTATTATAGTAGACTAGAGAACCGATGCATGAAATTCATGCAAGGGGCTTGGACCTTGAAACTGCTGCAGCTGCCTCAGCCCTCACAACCCTGGTTTCATCTGGAAGATTGTCCGGAAGGATGTCCGGAAGGCCGTTCACCTGTCCAGTCTAGTCAGCATATTACACTTCTGTTATTGAAGACTGATTTCTATGGGGATAGGCACGTTCTTTGTCCTTGGCTGTATTAATCTATCTAAACAGGATGTCTTCAGTCTTTTCATATTGTTAAGTAAATTGGAATCATGTGTAAACAACAACAAAGAGGAAAACATTTATTTTCTTGGCTAACCAACTTCTACTCTTACAGAGGGACTTTAAAATAGAACAGTGCCTTTCTTTCCCACTCTTGGCCATTATCACCCTCCAAGAATAGAGCTGGGAAATGCAACTCCCAGCTGCCTAATTGGAGAGGAATCTTTAGCCTGCTTCTTGGTCCTTTCTTCTGAATAAGCTGAGTTCTCAGGGTCTTTCCTTATTTCTTCTACCTCTCCTCTATATTTCTTAATGCTGAGCTCCATTTTCCTTCTAAAAGTTGATTTTCATTGGAGCTTGAAGAGCAGAAGTCTTTTCATCCTATAAAATCTGTGTTGTCTTTTTCATCTTGGTCTTCCTATGAACTAGCTTACCCTTTATCTCCTTTCTCTAAGGAAAGAACCTGATCCATAGTCGACTTTTGTTGTATCTCAGGCTAGTGGAGTAAGCTACTAACCCTATTTCTCTTACCATAACTGAATAATAATAATAATAATAATAATTATATATATATGATTATATATATATTATATATATATACATATATATATATATATATATAGAGAGAGAGAGAGAGAGAGAGAGAGAGAAAGAGAGAGAGAGAGAGAGAGAGAGAGAGAGAGAGAGAGAGAGAGAGAGAGAGCGCCAGCGACCATAACAGCCATAACAACTGGTTACTATAATGTGGCCATTGAACTAGCCCAATTAGGGGGTGGGGCTAGCTAGCCAACCTCATGGCCCCTCCCCCCTGCTTGCCTGCCACTGATCGGACTCTCCCACTCTAATCAAGAGTGGGCTGATGGCCAAACGATCAGCCCTCCTCACCTCCATAGGCCCACAGCCCCTCCCCCTGGCCATCCTACCCCTGATCATACCCCCACCCCAATAGAGGGCAGGGCTGACTGGCCAACCTCCTGCAGCCCACTGCCCTGCCCCTGTTAATCGCCCCTCCCCATGGATGGCCCCGCTCCCAATTGCCCCCCCGCAACCCCAATTGGGGACAGGACCCACCAGCCAATCGCCTGCAGCTCCTTCCCCCAGCCAGCCGGGCCCTGATCAGGTTTCCATCAGGGCAGGCTGGCCTGCCAACCTCCCCCCATCGTCTCCTCCTGAAAGACCCAACCCTGATCTGCCCTGATTGGGGCTGGGCCAGCCAGACCCCACCAGTGCACAAATTCGTGCACTGGCAATAATAATATAGTAATAGCAGCTGCTAATTGTTGCCATATGCTTCCTATAATCTTTGCTATAAATCTCATTTATTTCAATAACTTTAGGGGGTAGATAATATACCCAAGCCATTCAAATAGTAGGTAATAAAGCCAGAATACAAATCCAGGTAACCTGACTCACAACCACTACCAGTAAACATTACTTATATAAACGAGTCAAGTATGAAAAATATAATATATAAGGATGATTGTAGAACCTATTATAATCTATTCTCTCCAACTAGATAACTTGATTTATTTTATTAATATTTGCTACCTGGTAAAAGTGCCAAATTGGTGCTGTGTTTTCTAAAGGACCCTATGTTTGGGAAGGAGGAGGGGGAAAGTAAGCCTCATTAGAATATTCCCTTTGGTCTTCACAAAGACTTTTATTTACTATGTTTGGTTCTTTATTTGTGTTTTCCTTCAAAACCCAGTGTACACATAAAATCTGAGATTCTTTTTGTAGATTCATTCAGAATGGAGCTTCATAACCATATTCTAGTATTTCTGCTTTGCCTGCTAGAAAGCAAAAATCCATATTGGTAGCTCTCTCCTGGCAAATTTATTAAGACCTTGGTATTACATTTTGTTTACCAAGTTTCCTTCTGAGTTAATAAAAACAAATAGAACTCTCTCTTCAGAAAAGAGAAAGAAAATAATACTGTGCCTTGAGAATGTCTCTCTAAGGAGTCTCAAATTATTTTTTGAAATAAGTTAGAGAATAAATATATACATTTCTATAATGTTAAACATTCATTTGTATAATATTGAATGAAATACTTTCCCAAAATTTCCAAATATCATTTTTTGTCTTTAAATCTGTTGCATAAATAGGCCACATCTTTTGAAAACTTCCATCCATCCATATTCCTCTGTTCATAATATGCCCCTTACTAGGAATGTCCACCATCATCTTTTATCTCATTCCATGTCTACATTTTCCTTTAATATATTTCCTCAAAAGTCTTTCTGTAAATGTGTTTAACATTTAGGAACACAATCTTCTTCAGATCAATAACAATATTTAGTGAACAAATTTCATTGCTTGGCATATTAAGATTATAAAGACAAGGAAAGAATACAGGAAACTAGTGATTTATTAATATTAAACATCAGATTATACCAGACACATTCCTAGGTGTTTTCACTTATCTCTTAAATCTTTTTATGTATAAGAAAACTTATACACAAAGTGGATTAAAGAGATGAAAGTTGCATAGCTAGTAACAATGTGAGGTTGTAATTAAATTAGTCAATCTGCAATGATAGCATCCTAACTAGTACAGTATAGTCATACCTCAAAGATATTGCAGGCTCAGTTCTAGCCACCACAGTACAGTGAGCATTGCAAAAAACAAGTCACCCTCTTTTATTTGTGGAGGATCTTCGATTGGTGAAAAAGGCAACAGCTGCCAATTACAGTGAAGCAAAGTACAAAAAAATAAGGTATGGCTGTATTTATCGGAAATAATAGGGTATGACATCAGCCACAAAAAGAACAGAGATATAGTTGGTCCTCAAAAGGGAAGTGCTAACAGGGCCACAGATTGCTAAGTTTAAAAAAAAAAAAAATTGTTTCTCTTCTTTGCCATTTGGTTCCAGTCTCTCTTATTGCAGACTACAAGAAATGCCAACAGTCTCAAGGCTTCATAGTTTAGAGTTGAGAACATCCCAGAGTTGAAAATTCAGTTTTCTACTCCTGAATTAATATCTTAAGGAGATTGAGGAAGGACACATAGGAGACATGGCCACTGGGGTTTCAGTCATGTGCATTAGGGTTATTGCCAGAAAAAGGTGGCTCACTGTAAAGTGGGTAATACCATGCCAGATAGCATATAATACCCTATTAATATTTAAGTCTATTTCCAAACACACGTTTTTTGCCAGTACTTTAATAGAATGTATCAGTGAGGAGATTTATAATGTATTAGTAGTTGCAGAAATACGACCTATTATTATAGGTAGAAGTAATTATCACTTTAGTTTAGAATCTTCATGAAGTCTTTCATAAAGAGGCACTTGATTTAGATGTTGAAAGATAAGCTCATTTTATGCCGAAACCGGTTTGCTCAGTGGATAGAGCGTCGATCTGCACATTGAAAGGTCCCAGGTTCAATTCCGGTCAAGGGAATGTGCATTGGTTGCTGGAACATCTCCAGTCGGGGGTGTCCAGGAGGCAGCTGGTCGATGTTTCTCTCTCATCGATGTTTCTAGCTCTCTATATCGCTCTCCCTTCCACTCTGTAAAAAAAATCAATAAAATATTTTAAAAAATAAAAGAAAGATAAGCTCATTTTAGAAATAAATACTTTCCAAGTAGAGTAACAATATAAACAGAAGTGAGAATAAATGAAGCAAAGTAACTGTGAGGAGACCAATCTAGAAGAGTGTCCAGGATTCAAATCCTGTGCTTCTGGTTATAAAACCCATGTTTCTTCTGCACTTGACCCTAAACAGTATATAGAATAAGTACTAAATAAAATGCTCTGGAAGGTGGAGACAGATGAGCTTAGCAGCCCTATTGAAGTATATGTGTACAATTAAAGGGACTAAGATAGTAGCATTAAGAAAAAATGGTATGGCTGTGAGGCAAAAAAAAAAAAAAAGAAATTGAACTGCAAAGTCTGAAAAATAAACAGGTTAGAACAAACAGATTAGAGGAATGTTTAGTGTTACTGACTAATCTAGGAAAATATTTATTTTACAGGGATAGTATGGGTTAAGGGGATAGAATGCAATCTTAATTGAAATATACTGAGACATGGGAATTGGTAAAAAAAGTTAGAATTAGAGTTTTGGGAGCAAGGTGTGAAACTTATTGAGCTTTCAAAGGCTCAATACATGTGCAAAAAAAAATGTGAGTGGTGGACCAAAACTTAAGAATACTCATAGTTAGTATGAAATAGAAGTGGAATTTTAGTTTTACTGCTGTGTTGCTTGCCATCATTTTGTTTTGTGTTTTCTGTATGGTCTCTCTAAGTAGACTATGCACTCCTTCAAGCTGCCTTTAGATTTCATAGTTGTATATACTGGGCTCAAAATACATACTTAAAAAATTTTTTTTCATCAGTTATTTTAATACTTCTTAGATATGCTCTATGTAACTTTAATGATATATTTAAAGAATTCTAATTTGTTATAATGTGATACCCAAATATATCAATTATATCTCATGATTTCCTTTGCCTAAAAACCCACTACTTCACCTTGGCCACATGTTAGACAAGACTATCTGTGAAACATTTTAAATGGTCCATAGCTTGTGTATATTAAAAGTAGTATGTGTTAATGGAAGAGCAGATAATCTAAAACATTTCAGAAATAGTAGTATAATATACTTATACTTTTGATCTATAGTATTTTTGATATCTTAATAGTTTGAAAATGAAAATTATGAGCCATGTATTTGCAAACAATCTATAGCTTTGATTTCTAAATTTGCAAGTAGGGTATTAATTAATGGCCAAAATTTATTCTTTCATTATTAGTATCATAATATTGGTACATTGGAATTAGAATTTGTTTTGATCCAGTACTAGAGATACTTTAGGTTTGTCAGCATATGATTGGAACTCACTCCTTACCACTGCAAAATCAGTTTCTGTTCTGCCCCTCCCCCAACCCACCTCCAAGCTTCTATTAATTTCATTTAGATAGAAGTAGCTTTGGGCTTAACATAATATCCATTTGTACCCACTTTGTATACATCTCAGGGTGCTATAGCCTCAGTGAAAGAACTAATGCCTATATTTTAATAAACTGTATTTTTTATATTTCTCTTGTTTTCTCATTTACAGGGAGTTGATTTTCATATGGAGTAAACTTCAGCTTAAGTCTAATCCTTCAAAACAAGTTTTTGTAGATCAATGCTACCAGCTTTTAAGAACAGCAACTAATGTGAAAGTCATTTTTCCTTTCATGAAAATCATTAAAGATGAGGTAAATAGGATATATTTACCCCTTCATTTTAAATGACAGTTCACTGAATTTTGAATGTTTTAATGACAGAATTAATTTGATTATAAATTTGAAGAGGAGGATATAATTAAGTTTGTCACTTCTATAGAGTTTTAACTAATTTGTAGGCAGACTTTACATATCTATAGGCAATACTAGCTCACTGTTATAAAGAAATACAGTTCAGCCCTAGCAAATTAGGCTCAGTGGATAGAACATTGGCCTGCAGACTGAAGGGTTCTGGTTCAAATCCGGTCAAGGGCACATGTCTGGGTTGCAGGCTCAATCTCCAGTAGGGGGTGTGCAGGAGGCAGCCAGTCAATGATTTTCTCTCATCATTGATGTTTTTATCTCTCTCCCCTTCTCCCTGCCTCTCTAAAATCAATAAAAAATTAAAAAAATAATACAGTTCATAGTTTTAAGGCTGGTGTTTAGGTGAAAAGAAACCATGAATATGAGGCATTTTTGAAACTTAAGGACAGATTTTTAAAGTGCTTATTTTAGGTAAGAATACAAACCCATTATCTGTTTTTAAAAATAGTTCTGAAGCAAGTTTTTGATGGGTCACTTCCAAGTGAGTACAATTCTGCATGACTAATATAGACATGAAAATAGATCCTGCAAAATCCCTTAACTTTCCCCCTCTATTATTAACAAGTTTGAATACAGAAATAGAAAAAATAAAGCTTTTTTGAGGGGGTTAATCCTCACCCAAAGTTATATTAGTGATTTTGATTGATTTTGAGAGAGACTGGAAGAGAGAGGGAGAGACAGAGAGAGAAACAATGATGTGGGAGAGACATATTGATTGGCTGCCTCCTATGCATGCCCGGACCAGGGCTGGTGATCCATCTTGCAACTGAGACCATGCCCTTGACTGCATTCAAACCCAGTACCCTTCAGTCCTCGGGCCAACGCTCTAGCCACTGAGTCAAACTGGCCAGGGGTGCCCTACATTTTAACTGAATCTTTATGTGGGTTACTTTTAAATGTATAAGGAGGCATCCATTAAATAATATATATTTTTCTTATGTTTATGCATTTATCACATCACTTATTAAATGTATAACCACGTAGTGATCATATTCCCATGACATGAAGTTGGCAGAATTATATCAGAAGTGTGTTTTTGTTTTGTTTTCTATTTATTTTTCTAACGGCTTTAATAGCTTCACTATTAAATAGTGAAATGACATTCAAATGCAGCATTAAAGTTAACCTCTCTCCTTACCAACAAGGAGGAAAAAAACCCAAAAGTATGCTATAGAATGTTTACCAACATGTAAAGTGCATCAGTCACCTGTAAAACATTTCTAAAAATAAAGATGTATCTGTATTTTTTTACACGATTCTCATTTGCATAAAATATTAAGAGACTTTGTTAAAGCAAGTTTATAATATAGGTGAAGTTCAGCCAGTTATCATAAAGGTTTGTTATTTTCACAAGTCTGGTCAACCTAAGAATACATTATACTAGTAAGAGGAAAAATTCTCCAACATGAAATCAGTATTAAAAATGTGCTTAATTTTTTACACTGTCCTAAAAAGTTTTTTATTAATGGAATAGGTCACTCACATGCCTCCTTGCTATGAAAAGAGGCACAGACAATGCTGTATGAGTTCAGGAGACATTAGAGATGGCATTTCTGAAAGGCTTCACAGAGGAAGCCTTTCCACTGTGTTTTGAATGATTAAGGAGGATAATACTAATGTTTGTATTTTAGAGCACTTTTGCCTCATTTTATTATTTGTTTCTCACAACTGTCCAGTGACATTAATAGTGTAGTAGAGAAACCTGGGGAGAGAGTGTAGAAGATGAAATTAATCAGAGGGACTGCAGGAGGTGGGGGTGGGCTTGCTGGAGATCTTGAAAGGACTTGAAGGCTACACTAAAAGTTGGAACTTCAGTCTGTAAATATACTGGAATTGATACAGGATTTGGGGTAAAGAAGTGTTCTGATCCCGTTTGTCCTTTTACAATGAAATTTTTAAACTTAGGCAAGTGAGTACATTATAACTTCATTTGAAGAAAGAAGAGGAATTCTGTTTTGAAGCAATGAATTTTGAATTTGTTCTGTTTAGAAAATCTAGGTGGGAATATCTTAATTGTAATAAACAATTAGCAAAAAGCAATTCTTTTTGAATTCAGAAAAGAATTTCAAACTGGAAATGATGGATTGATAGGAGACAACTAAATTTAGTGGAATAGATCTGATCCCATTCACTCTGGAAACATTTACTCAGAGGTCACTATATGCCAACTTCTATGCTAACCATAGGAAGATATTAAAAAAAAAAAATGAGATACTGTATTATTTAGGAATTCAAAGCGATTACTAGGAATTTAAGAATTTAAAGGCAGAGGCATGGGCACACGCAAATTGTTATGAAATAATACATACATGCTTTTTAGAAATAAGTATAAGTTATTCTCAGTGGAAAGAATGGGGAATGTTTAACTACCCCAGGACAGGGGCCAGAAAGAATGGTGAGAAAAACTTTCAGAGTAGAACTGATTCTCAAAGAATGAATTGGACATGGCTAGGAATGTAACAACTATATAAAGTGGGAATATGATGTGAATGTTAAGGTCTGCTTGTGGAACTATAAGTAGTTAAGCAAGGTTACAAAGCATTTAAAGGATTAAGAGGATGTGAGCATGGTAAGGTGGTAGTCTTCCTCTCTGTCATATATAATATACCATATGCAGGCAGTATGATGTACACATACAAAAACAGCTTTAAAGACATATCACTTTTGTACTTCTTTCTATTCAAACAAGCATTTTGATAACTCTAAATCATTAGCAGTGTTATTTATATCTTGAATTGGGGTAGGCCGACACAGATTCCCAAGTAAAAGTTGATGTAGTTATCTTTGAGAAGTAAACATTTCGAAGCTTGAATAATTTGCAGATAACTTCCAATAGGTTCATTATTCTGATACCTTATTAGATTTGGAAAGATTGTAATTGCCCTTTCCATGTAGCCTGTACTTCTCCCCTTATTTGAACAGAAGTAACAGAAATAATATTATCCAGTTCAGCTTGATGAGTTTCTATAAGCAGCTCTTTTTAAAAAATTTTTCTAGTTATTTTTAAGATCAAACTTTGATAAATGTGTTTAAATACATATAATGTAATCCTTCTGCCACAGAATGTAAGGTTAGTACCAAAAAGAAATAGGATCTAGATTTATAAGAAACTTTACTCCTCATAAGTTTATGAAGCACTTTGTATTTTAAATCACCATCAGGTTATGAAGCATTTTGTATTATGATTAACTAGAGGCCCGGTGCACAAAATTCATACACTAGGGGATGGGTGACCCTCAGCCCAGCCTGCACCTTCTTGCAGTCCGGGAACCCTTGGGGATGTCTGACTGATGGCTTAGGCCCACTCCTTGTGGGCCATCAGTTGGAGATCCTTAGCACTGCTACGGAGGCAGGAGAGGCTGCCACCACCACCACTGCACTTGCCAGCTGTGAGCCCGGCTTCTGGTTGAGTGGCACTCCCCCTGTGGGAATGCACTGACAACTAGAGGGCAGCTCCTGCGTTGAGTGCCTGCCCCCTGGTGGTCGGTGTGCATCATAGCGACGGGTTGTTTTGCTGTTTGGTTGATTTGCATATTAGCCTTTTATTATATAGGATAGATCTTAACAAACTTAAAAATTAAATAAATTGGAAGTGAAAATGCTATCTTTTCCAAATTATTCTCAAGTTTAAAAAGATTTAAGGCTATACATTAAGGAAATTTTTACATTTGAAATGCTGTGTTTATTTAGCTTTTATTTCAGAGTTGTCATTTAAAAAGATAAACTAGTTTGTTTAATATTTTAAAGATATTTAGTAGTAATATATTTTTTCTTTTTATATAGGTTGAAGAAGAAGGCTTACAAATTTGTGTTGAAATATGTGGTTGTGCTCTACAACTAGACCTTCATGATGATCCCAAAACTAAGTGTCTAATTTATAAAACAATAGCACATTTCTTGCCAAATGATTTGGAAATCCTCAGGATTTGTGCACTCTCAATATTTTTTCTTGAGCGCTCCTTGGAAGCTTATCGCACTGTTGAAGAGCTTTATAAATGTCCAGATGAAGAATATAATGAAGGCACTAGTAGTGTTCAAAATCGTGTTCGTTTTGAATTACTTCCTATTTTGAAAAAGGGATTGTTTTTTGATCCTGAATTCTGGAACTTTGTAATGATTAAGAAAAACTGTGTAGCATTACTGAGTGATAAATCAGCAATCAAATTTATAAATGAAAATACACTGGAAAATTCTATAGATAATCTAAAAAAGACAGTGGAACAGAAAGGTTTAGATGAAGGTGTTGATTCTTTTACAGATCAGAGCACTGGGGAGTTTGATCCTGATGATATATCTGGAGTACAACCTAAAGGCCATGTTAACACAAAGAAAAACCTTACTGCTTTTAACGCTTCTAAAGTAGACCACAGTGTCCCAAGGCATCGGTGTATGTTATGTAATAAGGAATTTCTAGGCGGTCACATTGTAAGGCATGCCCAGGCTCATCAGAAAAAGGGCAGTTTTTCCTGTGTAATATGTGGTAGGAAATTTAGAAACAGAGGACTTATGCAGAAGCATTTAAAAAATCATGTTAAAAAAATACAAAGACATCAAATTGCTGTAGCTCAACAGGGGGATCAGGCAAGTCCTGCTTTGGAAGAAATAAACTTTTCCAATTCTTCAATTTCATTTGAAAATGGGGATTTTTATAATAAAGACTTGGAAATACCAACTATTAATACTTCCAATGATGGAAATGAAGAAGTCATCCCTCAGCATGTGGCTGAATTCACTGAAATTCCCATAAGTGTATCAGAAGATGTTAGTGAAAATATTGAAAATGGCAGTCCTGACACTTATATAAATAATGTATTGGAACCTTTACCTGTATGTGAGGATGACTACGAGGAAGAAGAGGAAGAAGAGGGTGATTATGAAGAAGATGATTATGACCTGAATCAAGAAACTCCAGCACTTCATAAAATTAATGGAACTTTATTTCATCCAAAAGACATATATGATATAGATCAAAAAGGAAACTTTAAGTGCCCTGCTCTTGGTTGTGTCAGGATATTTAAGAGAATTGGATTTCTCAATAAACATGCAATGACTGCACATCCAACTGACTTAAATGTGCGGCAAACAGTAATGAAGTGGAGCAAAGGAAAATGCAAATTTTGTCAAAGGCAGTTTGAAGATTCTCAGCATTTTATAGATCACCTTAATAGACACAGCTATCCAAATGTGTATTTTTGTTTGCATTTTAATTGCAATGAGTCATTTAAGCTGCCATTCCAGCTTGCTCAGCACACAAAAAGTCACAGGATATTTCAGGCCCAGTGTAGTTTTCCAGAATGCCATGAGCTTTTTGAAGATCTTCCTCTGCTATATGAACATGAAGCTCAGCACTATTTAAGTAAAACCCCGGAATCATCTGCACAACCAAGAGAAGCAACTGCTTGGGATGTTCTTACAGACCCAAATAATAGTTATCAGGAAAAAGACTCATCTAGTAATGAGAAACAAGCTATTAGCCTGCCAGTTTTTACTAGCAAATCAAGGAAAGATTCTACAGAACCAAAGACATGTATAGAAAGTATGGAAAAGAAGACAGACAGTTTAATTCAGAATGGAAATGAACATTCTGATAATACTGTTTCTAATATCAGCTTGATAGACCAAAAGATGCCTGACCTAGAGCCAAATTCTGAAAATAATTGTAGTTTTGATTTAGTCAATGGACACAGTGGAATAGAACAGACACCTTTAGTTTCAGCAGGTTCTACTTTGAAAATTGATACAAATAGAAGTAGAACAGAAAATGGTTCCATTTTACCCAATGTTATACCACAAGAACACAGTACCCTGTCCGTATCTCAGGCACCATCCAAACCAAATGTGACGAGTGAACAAACTTCATATGGCTTAATTTTATCAAAGCCATATGTCAGACCATTGCCTCCCAGTTACCTTGATGAACGGTACCTTAGTATGCCAAAACGCAGAAAATTTCTGACTGACAGAATAGATGCCTGTTCTGATCAAGATAACATTTGTAAAAAATCAGTGAAAAGATTAAGATGTGGCAAATGCCTGACAACCTACTGTAATGCAGAAGCACTTGAGGCTCACCGTGCACAAAAGAAATGTCAGGCACTCTTTGGATTTGATTCAGATGATGAAAGTAAGTCTTCTATCTTCTCAGTAGATAGATCTGTAGAAATAGAAAATGCCATAGGTCTTTAAAGTTAAATTAACATTTGTATAGCATCCTACATAATAAAAGCTAATAATATGCAAATCTACTGAATGGTGGAATTTGGGGTGTGGGGCCAGCAAACAGGTGGCCAATGGGCAGAGGGAGGGAAAGGCGATGGGGAGTAGAGGGCAACCAGTAGCGGTGTGGGGGCTGGCACCATCCCCTGATGGCACGTCTGGCCTCCTCTCCCGGAGGGAGGCTGGGAGCTATGACAGGGTGATGGGGGTGGCGCTGTCCCCTGATCGGCCTGGCAGCAGCAGCATATGGCAGGGTGATGGGGGCAGTGCCGTCCTGATCACCTATCCGGTCACCTCCTGCAGAGGGAGGCCTGGTGGCAGCGGCGGGGGGTATGGGGGTGGTGCTGTCCCGACTGGCTGTCCCAATCGCCGCCTGCAGAGGACATCCGGACTGTGAGAGGGTGCAGGCTGGGCTAAGGACTCCCTCCCCCCCCCCCCCCCAGTGCATGAATTTTCATGCACTGGGCCTCTAGCAGATAATAAAGCACTAACTAGACATTATTCCCTTTAGTCCATACAGCCATTATGAGATGTTATCATTATTCCTGTTTTATAGATCAAACTCAAATTCACAAAGTTAAGTAATTTGTATAGGCGCAGGCTTATGAACTTGTGGGAGCCAGAACTTGTACACAGGTTTTCCATACTCTTTGATCATTTTCTCTGTATCTGAAGCATTTCTTCATTCTAGGTTTCATTTACTTAAGGTTCTAGAAACAAAGTAATATGATGGAAATGTTTTGCACCTGCATGCTAGAATATAAACCAAGTGAAACTGAGCCTCTTTAAAAAAACAATTTGAAAGAATCAGAAAATAAATGAAAAACAAAAATGAGTAGCACTGGCCTGTCTTTTTACTGCTATCAATATTCTTTGAATGTGTAAGGGTGTAAACAAACAGGAATCTGACTTAGATTTCCAGTTGAACACTTATAAAACTTGAATTAATAGATACGTTTTGTTTTACAGGTGCCTGATAAAAATGTTTCAGAAAGATCTGTCGATCAAGCAGTAGTGTGAACAAAACACTACAAGAAAATGCATCATCAGTTTGCTATTTCCCTGACGGCCTTAATTTTAGAGTGGTCTCAGATTAAAGACAAAGCACATTGTCTAGAATGAACTCAGTGCTAGTTCAGATTCCAAAAGGGTTATTACAAAACTCCCAAAGTACCAGTTTTCCAGAAAACCACATTTAAAAAAAAAGTTTGAGATAGCAGCATGTTCAATTTCGCTTAAGTGAGAAACTTGTTCAAGCAACTAGTCAGAAAAAGAAACCAGCTATGGCCTTACAGAAAGGGAGTTAACCCATATAAAAAGGGGGAAGGGTTGGGTTACAATAAACAACTTAAAGTATTCTACAAATGGGATGGTTTTCTTGTCATGTATAATCAGATTTTGATCTCCCTTCTGATCAAACATGGCTTAAGGAATCACTACTAGGTTTATTATAATTTAGAAACTGACATATGAAAATGTAACTTGATTTATCACTGTTTTATCCATAAAAGATTATAACTTGTTTCCAGGTGATTGAATAAACAGGTCAAAGTTCAATGTATGGCATGCCAGTATTTAAAATAAAAAAAACAAAAGGCAAAACAGTGCTTTGTTGGAACCTTCCACTTTCCATTTTTGTAATACCAGTGAATTTTAAAAACAGTAGTGTCAATCAAAAAGTACCATAGATAACTTTGGGGATAGATGGGAGAAATCTTAAGACCATCAAAGGCTATCTAGTTGATGGAAAACACTGAATTGCAAATTCCTCAATGTGAATAATGGTATAAGCACACTGGGATATTTTTATTTGTATATAGAGTATTGTTAGGACATTGCTTGATGACTCATAGTAAGGTCCTTTAGACATTAATGTGAGTTATCTAAGTACAGTCCTATAAAAACTGGCTATAAAAAAAAAAAAAAAGCAAGCTAAGAATCAGGTCAAGAATTCATTGGTTTTCATTTAGAAGAGTTAGTTATAAAATAAGCCATACTACTCATGCTTTCTTATTTATTAGTGATAGATTTGGTCTGATTAATAATTTTTATATATATATATATATATATATATATGAAAGGAAATATTTACATAAGAATTTGCACAGCAAGAACACAGTAAGATATACTGATGCATTTATTTTCCTTAATGACCAGTAATTTTCCTAAGGAAGATTTTAACTTAAGTTGTTAAGACAAAAAATGTTTTTAAAAATACCTTCTCAGATGTGTTCTACTTGTACATTCTCTAAGAGGAAGGTTAAAGACCTTTTACCTAATAATGTGTTAATCTATAGTAGGGATGAAATGAACAAAAATGCAAAGGCAAATTCTTCAAAAACTGGGCTAGTAAGGTACCAGTGCCCAGAAAGTATTCCAACTGACACATTTTTGTTCAAAGCAGATAACCTGATCAGAGCCTACTATATCCATATATTTTGAATATTAAACTTTGGCATATTAAAGTTTCTTAAATGAAGTTACCAAGCAAGTGGGACATTTCTTGCAGGGCATCATCCAGACTATTGAATTAAGATTTCCAAGTCACAATAGATCATGGTAGGTCAGATATCTAAAAAATTGCCCAATTTTATTAGCTTAGTTATCATGTGCATTCACTACTATACAATTGACAGTCCATTCCAATAAAATTTAGATTTCTTGGTTTTGTTTTTATTTTTATTGTAGCCTATATTAGGCTGTGGAATTTACATTTAAATTGCATAAGTAAACACAAATAAGTAAGATTTTTTTAGTTCTTTAAGGTCAATTTAAAATGTTTTCCATATTCCCTGACACTAAAAATAAATACTTGAAATCTATTTCAGTTTAGTCTAAAATAATCATGTAATTAAAAGACTGTTTGAAAACTAGTTCATTTGGACAATAAAGTTACTTTTGAAATACAATTTCTGCTTCATTTTCTGGAAGTTTAAAATTATACTTAATATTTTTAATTATTTTTTTATAAGTTGAAACTATCATGTCTACAAATTATTTTCATTCACTTTTCAATTCATACCAAGATGTTTTTAAATATATTACATATGTTATTTTATGTCTTTGAGGTTTTATTTCTATTATGTTGCTAAGGGAAAACTTTTGGAGACAGATCAAATTGGTTTATACATAAATCAAGGGATGTCTTATAAAATTCTTTTTGAACACACTGTTCTCTTTATATACTTCTCAAATAACTGTTATTGAAAGAATGTGTACATTTTATGTATGTTTTATAAAACACAAACTTAAATCATTTTGCTTGTAGAGGATGCATAAACTTCCAACAATTCTAATTTGGGATCCAGAAGAAGCTTTCTTTTTTCTCAGTTTATTCTCTTTCTTTTTTACTCCTGTTTTGAGGACGAGTTTATCTTACATGGACCAAGTTTCAATCCTAAGTTTTTAAATAAAAAAAATGCCTTCAAAAGATTAAATACTAATTTTTTACTATGTTTCAGTAAGGTCAAGAAAATAGCAAATCTGAATTTTTGCTGCTCAGATATTATGGGAGAGGTAAAAAAAAAATCTCCGTGGACAAGGACACTGGTACTTTGGGCTTTTAGCCATATTTGTTTTTTTTAAACCTCCAATTATATAATGAGTAGATAATTTATAACATTGAACTTGTGATTCTTCTGAAATCACACTTGAAGGTTCAGCCGTACTCCTTTTGTGTTTGGTTTAAACTGTTGTATGGATGAAAAACCTAAAAGGGATGATAGTGTTTATTTTTTAATTTATTTGGTACTGTAAAACACCTTTTCAGAATGACTAAATGCTGCATATGCATTTTGGAATTGTTAATATGTGAAAGATATTACAGATTCAGCAAGAAAGGATTTTGTGCTTCCTTGTTGAACATTAAATTATTTTACTTTGCATTTTATAAGAGTACAAATTAAAACTGAGCCATTGAACTGCAATAAATCAACAATAGTGTCTCATTTCAAGAAGGTTTTTGTACTGTACATAGATTTGTTCAATAAAACATTGTTCTTATTGGTAATGAATTGGTCATTTTTTTAAGCTGGTTTATTTTTAAATATATTTTTATTGATTTCAGAGAGAAACAACGCTTCAAAAGGAATTAGGCTTAATTGATGTTATGCTTTGATAACAGAGTTTCTCCCTCACGATCAATTTTTTTAAAAATCTTAAAACAGCAAGAGAACCACTGTGATGAGACTAGAGTGAGAAAATAACTGGAAATGAAAACAGAAAGGTAAAATATAAAAGTCAGTTTATAATGGCAGGCAAAAGCTCTAATACAGTAGCCACTTGCCACATGTGGCTATGAAAATATAATTAAAATTCAAATAAAACATAAAATTGAGTTCCTTGGTTCTATTAGCCACATTACAGGAGTTCAACAGTCACATGTGGCTGATAGTTACTGTATTGGACAAAACAGGTCTAGAACATTCACATCATCTTACAAAGCACTTTGGACAGGACAGATGGTTCTATGTCAGTGATCCTCAACTAAGGATGGTTTTTTGTCTCCCAGGAAACTTGGCAAGTTGGAGGCATTTTTGGTATCCATAACTGGAGAAGATGCTACTGGCATCTAGTGGGTAGAAGCCAGAGATGCTGTTAAGCATCCTATAACACACAGGATAGCATCTACAATAAAGAATTATCCTACCCACAAACTCCAGAATTGAGAAACCCAGCTCTATATCAATCCTGACTACAACTCCTACTTCACTTACTGCCTTCTCCTTCCTCAAGCTGCTCCAGCCTCCTGCACTCTTCTGTGGTTCACACTAATTTCTTTTCAGGTCTTTCCTTCAGTGTGACTAGAGAATCCTTTCTTGACAGCCCGTGTAAAATAGCAACATCCTCTCCATCACCCACCTTATGTTTTTTTAATCCATACTATTCCTGACAATACATAATTTCTTGTATGTTTATTGTTAGCTTCCTTTCACTAGAATGCAAACCACAAATGACTTGCATTTCTTTCAAGCATACAGAACAGTATGAAAAAGTTGGGTATGCCATCCATGTGGTTCCGCGCCAGCTTTATGAAGACTTGTCATGCTTTATTTGCCAAACTCCCAAAAGGTCCTCGAAGGAAGGTCTGTGTCATTTTTCTGTTATCTTCAATACCTAGCATACTAGGCACTCAATAATGCTTAGTGAAAAATGAATTTGTATCTGTTTAGGAAAATAATACTCAAATAGCATCCACCAAATTAGATTAACGATGATTTGAACTCCTTAAGACTATATTTATAGTACATTTTATGACTGACATTTAGCTGTACATTTTTTAAATATTAAATTTGCACGCGGGATCTGCATACGTGTATACATTTCAGCTACTAAATGGCAATACACCAATTAAATGTTAACGAATCTAAAACACGACTTAACAATGGAAGAAACGGAGGCAAGTGTTTTAAATGATTCCTGGTCGGACTTGCTGCGGGTGAACGTGGGCTGCTGTGGTGTAACCGTATGGATGGCGCTCAGGGCTGTGGAGCCAAGAGCAGCACTGCCCTTCCTTACCCCCCGCCCCTGGTCAGCAAGCCTGCAGTTCGCATCTCAACTGGACCCATGTCGAGGTGGGCTGAGGGACGAACGTGTCTGAAGAGCTGGCCCGCCGTCACCGTTAGTTGTTGATTAAACCCGGGGCCTCTGGCTCCCAGCGCTAACCTCACTGCCACGCGCTCCCGCGCCTCCTACACCAAGTCGGACCCGGAGCGGGAGCCACGGCCCAGCCGCCAGGGAGGAAGGTCAGCTGGCAGGCGCGGCACGTGAGAGGTGGTTTAAAGAAACACCCGAAAAACCTTCCATAGTATGATGTTAAAACCCATCACAGCACCATGCAATTTAAGAACATCAAACCGCAGGCGCGCCCAACTCGGAAGTGGCCGCCGCACCCTGCCAACCGCGCCGGGGGCCGGGCGGCGGGCGGGGGAGGCGCCGCCACTGGCCGGCCCCGGGGCATCACGGGAGCGCGCCCTACGCCGGGGCCGGCGCCCGCTGACACGCACCTGCACTGCGCAGCCCTCCCTGGCGCTCTTTTGGAGAAGGGCCTCCTAAGGCTTTCAGGGCATCACTTTCCGCAGCCAGCTGCCTTACGGAAGGCCGATGCTCCCAGTGTAAATGCGGTGCTTTCCTAAAATGAGATTCAAGGGACTCGCTCGGTCCGGGCCAGCCCGGAACGAAAAGTTGGGAGCCCCGCTTCCTGGTCGACCTCATTGGCGGGGCCACTTCCGCCCCCTAGGGTTTGGAATACCCGAGGCGCTTTGGCGGCGAACACCCTGGAAGGCACTTCCGGTGCCTGTCGCCAAGGCGCCGGCCCCTTGGGCCTAAAGGAGCGACGTCATTGGCGTCGTCCTCTTCCCCCCCTTCCCGGGGGTCGAGATGTCGGGGCTCAGCTGCCCGGAGAGAGAGGGCTGCCGTCACCTGCTCGGCCTGCTGGATACCGACGATATCATGGCGCTGTGCGACACCGTCACCAACCGCCTGGTGCAGCCTGAGAACCGCCAAGGTGAGGCTGGACCCGGTCCCCACAGCGGGCCTCCCCGCCTCCCCGGCCGGGGCGCGGCGGCGGCGGCGGGGGCGGAGGGGTGCCGGCCCCGCGGCCCGGACCCCCGCGACCCCGCGGCCCCGCCGCACCGATCCCGGGAGGCGGAGGCGCGGAGACTGCGGCCGGTGAATTATACAGGCAAAGGCTTTAGAGGACGTGAATAGTCATTAAAAAAAATAATAATAACAAAGAGCCATTTTGTTCCCATCAACTGAGAGTCAGCTGTTAGCCGCTCAGGCTTTTTGTAGCTTGGAGGAGGTCAGGCATTTTCTCCAATTTCCTAGTAAAACAAATTACCGCAACGACGGCAGGCCGTTTGAGTTCATGTCTGTTCTTGGATTCAGATTTTTTTTTTTTTTCTGAGGTTCTGTGTAGGAACACCTTGCTTCAAGGGTTATTAAACATAAGCCTGACTGTAAGGACTCCGTGTATAAAAATGTAATGAGTAGCGTAAGCGTTTATTTCATTTTATAGAGGACCAGGCCAGTTTTATTCTAAACTTACTGGATTTGACTTTAAAATGTCAAAATCCCAGCCCCCTATATGGAGATGACTTAGTTATAAAATACTCTGTACACTGTAGATATAGTGTGAATATTTAAATAAGTAAATGACTTATTTATAAAAGACTGCTTTTTAACACTATTTTTCTACTTAGGTTGGATTTTTATTTTCATTACTTGAGAAAATCTGTCATTTGAAACTTTGAACGGTGAACATTGAAAGAAGAAATTCCTAAGAGAATGGTTTTAGACTTAATGGTTTCAGCATTTATGTGTTTTACATAATCACCTCTAAAGTCATAGTGAGTGAATTTAAAATTGTCATGCATCACAATGCTGGGTTTAATTGGTTCCCAGTTCAAAAATGTTAAATGACTTGAAGAAATGTTTCTCAAAGAGGAAAAAGTAATCACTAAACATATGAAAAGGCAACCTCTTTAGAAAGCAGTGAAATGAAAACCAAAACACGCGATCTTTTCCCCACATATACCAAATTGGCAAAAAGCTAAATGTATAAACTTCAAACCTTGGTGATCACGTGAAACAACTTTTGGAGCTACTTCGGGGGAAAAAAGTTTGACATTATCTTCTGAAATGGAAGATTTGCTTACTCAGAGGCACAGGTTTCTAGCCCTGAGCTTCTCAAACTTGAATTTGCCTTTGAATCTCAGGGATCTTGTTAAAATGCAGATTCTGGTTCAATAGCTTGGGGTGGGCCCAGGAAGTCCACATTTTAGCAAACTCCTAAGTGATTCATCTTTTCTCCCTGCTCTAGGAGACATGTATGAAAGTCATTGGACACACACAATAAAACCCTATAAACAGAAAAATAAATTACTTTGTGACATAATATAATTAACTAAGGTACAACTAAATAAAGCTACGAATCTGCTAATAGATTAATCTCAGAAACAACATTAAGGGAAAAGCTGATTAAGAAGATTATCTATTGATGGGTTGAATTTACAGAATGTTCAAAAAAATAGCAAATTATATTGTTTAGGGATAAGAATCAAGGGAATAATAAACAACATTTAGGATAGTAGTTACCTGTAAGATAGATGGGTAGAGAGAGGGAATGGCATTAAGGAGAGAGGGATAAAATTATGGCCTCAAAAATATTAGTAATTTCCTGTGTCAAACTGCATGTATGTACATAGGAGTTCATTTGATTGCTATTCTGTATACCTCATACATGTTAAAAATAATCTTCGGCCTGTTATTTAATATAATTTTTAAAATTAAAAAAGTATAAGTCCGGATTCTCCCAATTCTTAGAAGCATAATTATTGATATCTTATGTATCCTCAAGTTTTATCATATGTAGAGTGAAAAGATTGAACTAAAAGTTTTTGTACATCTAAAATACTGCAGTTTTGCCCATTTTTAGGAATTATAACTGAACTTAGGTCCATTACCTTATTAGAAAATTTTTTTTCTGGCTTAAATTTTTTCTTTTAGCACTAGTTTTTTTGTTTTGTTTTGTTTGTTTTATCCTCACTTGAGGATATTTTTCCATTGATTTTTTGGAAGAGGGAGGGAAAAACATAGAGAAATATCCTCCTGTTGAGGGCCTGGGCCAAGGAGGAGCCTGCACCGAGTTACATGCCCTAAACCTGGGACCCTTCCATCTGCAGGCTGACCCTCTATCCACCGAGCCAAACTGGCTAGGGCTCTTTTTTTTTTTTTTTTTTTAAAGAAATGCTAAAATTTTATTATATTAATGGGAAATGAAAGAAAGAGGGAATATTAGGTAGAAAAGTTGAAAACATAAAGAAATTTTTTTAAAAGTCCCAAACCTAGCAACCTACTTCCTGGTTTTTAAAAATGATAACCATCTCATGCAGAAGCAAAAATGTCATGACAAGAGTATAGATATTTGGGAGTTTCTGCTGATCCTGGACAAATTTACAAGTGACTCATAATTTTCTATTAACATTTACAATTTCCTTCTAGATGCCATTCGTGCAATTTTAGTGTACAGTCAAAGTGTAGAAGAACTTCTGAGGCGTAAAAAAGTCCACCGAGATATCATATTTAAGTACTTGGCATCACAGGGGGTTGTTATACCTCCAGCTACTGAAAAACACAATCTTATTCAGCATGCAAAGGATCACTGGAAAAAGCAATTACATCTGAAATTGAAGGAAACACCAGAGCCAGTTAAGACCTCTCAGGACATTAGAAACTTTCAAAAGGTAAAATTGATCTTATATCCTGAACCATAATTCTATTTCTTACTCTTTAGATAACCTAGATCTGGCATAAAATGTTAATAATTTTGATTTTTAAAATAATTCTATGCCCTAACCGGTTTGACTCAGTGGATAGAGCATCAGCCTGCGGACTGAAGGGCCCAGGTTCGATTCCGGTCAAGGGCATGTACCTTAGTTGCGGGCACATCCCCAGTGGAGGATGTGCAGGAGGCAGCTGATTGATGTTTCTCTCTCATTTAATGTTTCCAACTATCCCTCTCCCTTCTTCTTTGAAAAAAATTGATAAAATATATTTTAAAAAATAATAATATAATTTTAGCTTTTCTTCATTTCTACTTTAAAAGAATGCTATTGTAAGCTCTTTCTCATTTTTGAAAATGGTTTCTGGTTATTAAATTTCAGAAATTCCATGAAAGAAACTTAAATACTTTTTACATATGATTTTTAATCTAGAAAAAAATGTTGTGGTTTACACTGGCTGACATTGGCTGTTTCTATTCCTTTATATCTCTACTGTACATTGTAGATATTGTGTGAACATTTAAATGTTGATTGAATGAACCTCTATGTCATTTGCAGATTTTTAAACTGCATACCACAAACTGAATTAATGAGCTTTTACAGTGAGAGCTATTTACTTTCACATTAGGAAAGGATCTTATAAGGTCTTTCTTTTTTTTTTTTTTTTTAATATCCTTATTTATATTCTTTTATGAGTTTTGTGATTGTTTTTTTAAATATATGTTATTGATTTCTTACAGAGAGGAAGGGAGAGAGACAGAGAGTTAGGAACATCGATGAGAGAGAATCATCCATCAGCTGCCTCTTGCACACCCCCTACTGGGGATGAGCCCGCAACCAAGGTACATGCCCTTGACCGGAATCGAACCTGGGCCCTTTCAGTCCGCAGACAGACGCTCTATCCACTGAGCCAAACCGGTTTTGGCATAAGATCTTTCTAAATGTACTGAGAGAACCTGGACTTTTAATTCAGAACTAATGTGATTTCATATTAGGGTCTGCCATATACTAGGTGTGAACTTGTGCAAAAAACTTGACCTTTTTGAGCCTTATTTTCTTTATCTACAAAATGGGCATAAGGATAATATCTATGTCAGAAGACTTGTGAAGATAAAAGGAAATAGCACATACCACAGTGCCCAACATATTCAGTATATACAAGATTTCATAATATGTAAATGAGATAATTTTTTTTCATAACCCGTGAAACCACTGGCACAATCAAGAGAAAATGCTTATATAAATCATTATTATTGATTATTCATGATGATATTTTAAGAGGCTTGGTGAAACCTTAAGTTTTTAGCTGGGTTTTTGGATGTTTGAGCTGGGAAATTCTAAAATGGTTTTTCCCCTTTTTGCAGGAAGAATTTATGATGCACGATAGGTTCAGTGAGTTTGCATGTAGTTCATTTCCCTGGTGCTATAATTAATACTGTATTAAAAACTAGCTCTGAAACAGGCTAGATAGAAAAATAGGTACAAGTATTAACCTTGGTTTTATTTGTATTTATCTAATCCGCAGGAGAAAGAAGAAAAAACTGAAAAAGTTGATTGCCGACGATTAGGAGAAGCATTCTGTCACTGGTTCTTTGAACTTCTTAATTCTCAGAATCCTTTTTTTGGACCACCTAAAGATGAATGGGGGCCACAGCACTTCTGGCATGATGTCAAGCTTAGGTTTTATTACAACACATCTGAACAAAATGTGATAGACTACCACGGAGCAGAAATAGTGAGCCTTCGTCTGCTGTCACTTGTGAAAGAAGAATATCTTTTTCTCAGTCCCAACCTTGATTCCCATGGATTGAAATGTGCTTCTTCTCCCCATGGTCTGATTATGGTTGGAGTTGCTGGGACTGTCCACCGAGAGAACTCTTGTTTGGGCATTTTTGAACAAATTTTTGGACTCATCCGCTGCCCTTTTGTGGAGAATACTTGGAAAATCAAATTTGTCAACCTGAGGATTATTGGAGAGGCTTCCCTTGCTCCTGGAGCATTAATGAAACCAGCTATTAAATTTGAACCAAGTGATCTGGAGGCCTTTTATAATGTAATTGTCTTATGTGGTGCCAATGAAGTACAACGTAATGTAAGGCAGACGGGTAGTGGAACTGGAGACCAAGGTTTGTGCAGTGGAAATGAAGCATTGTTGAACAAAAGATAACTGAGTTTAAGTAATCCTCTAAAGCACTGAGCACTGTATGTATGGAAACTATTCCAGACTCTGACTGCATTGATATATTTTAGTTGAAATATCTTTTTGACTACAGACTAACATATGTAAATACTTGCCTCTTTCTGCCTGAGCTGCAGCAAATGTTCTGAGGGCTTAATGCAGTTCATCAAATAAATCCCACTTTAGATGTTATAAATGTTGTGCCCTAGAAACCAGGTAATATTTTCATTTTACTGAGTATAAATGTTCTGCTAATGTGTTTACATTTCCTGTGGAAAAGGAATGATAATGTTCAAGGCTTCCTTTTTTCAAGTTTCTTAAAACCATCTGGATAATTTTACAATATTTTAAAAATATGCACTTTAAAAAAATAGCATCTTTTAGAGATGTCTAATGTAAAATCAAAGTTCTTTTTTTAGAAAACATCAATGACATTCATATGCAAAAAGTTTAATATTTTAGCAGGCCTGGAAAAATTTACTTTGCCTTTTTAAAATCTGAGGAACCTATAGTCCAAGTTAGATATCTTATAATCTGCAACATTTTCTGAACTTTTTTGGGCAATGATAAGTGCTGTCCTCAAATCAGACTTTATTATCTAAGCTCTAACAGTGTTATGGGGCATTGATTGTAACAACATATTAAGGAAACATCCTGTTGAAATTTTTGGAAGGTGTGCCCAGTTTCTAACTTAATTGAAATTACTGTTTTTCCTCTTGCTTGATCTTGGTTGAGGGGATCAAAAAAAATTTAAAAAATTATAATGTAAGCATATACTCCCTCATCACAAATTAAAATTATTAGGATTTTTTTTTCACCTGTAACTTGTTTTACTAGGATTGATTTATTTGGGTTAAATTGCCAAATTAATTACATAATTGCTTTAAAATTTAAATTTCTCATCTTCCAGCAGCTACTTGCTGATAATGGATTTAATTTGTAATTTTAATTTTCAAATGCCATTTGGGGAAAAAAATCAACTGGGAAATGTTGTGATGTTGTATTATACATGTTAACTTTTTACCTTTAACTCTGCTCATGACCATCTAGGGTGACTGAAAAGAATTTTGGAAGCAGGAGGAAAAACTTGTTTTTTTAATGCCATGCCTCTTAGGAGGAGTACAAATTGATATGTCCTAAAATAAAAACTTAAAAAAGGAGGGAAATCTCTTTTGTCTGTTATTAGAACAGTGTATTATTTAGATTTAAAGCCAATTTTATTTTTCTATAAGTTGGAAGTATCTTTATAATGTGTAATCGATAAATATCCTTAAGTAAAGGATAAATTAAAAACTATTCTCATCATTTTCTTTGTGCTGTTGATGTAAAATGCTGTAAAAAGTATAACTATAAATGCTTAAGATAGACAGAAACTGCTTCTATCTTTAATATTGAATTTTTGATTTTGTGTAATGCTCCAGTAAAACTTTAGTCTCTGCATGTTTATTTTAAAAGTTCAAAATCTTCCTGATAGACCAAATCTCTTGAGGATTAGAGCTATATTTCCTGTGAATCCACAGCTGGGCATATCCATAGGACCTAATGTTGAACTGAAGGGGTGGAAGTGTGACCAGAAGAAGCTTCTGTGTGTAGACTTATCTTTGGTGATCTTTATCAGTGGTAGCTTTGTGATCATATTGTCTCTTTGAGTTGTATATGTGGATACACAGAAACTCTTAGGCCTCAAACTAACTCAGCTTTGGGGAATATTTTAACTTTCATTTAAAGTTTGATGAATTTCAGAAGCCTCAGATCAGAGTGGGATATACTAAGAGGGCCCTAAAACTACCTAGAAACTGTTAGAGGGGAAGTGGGTACTTCCCAGTTGGAGGAGGAAGTCTGGGAGAAATTGAAACTTGTTCAGTAAGCTTAAAACTTGATCTGGCCTGTAAGAAGGTTCAGAAGCACAGTGCAGATTACTAGTAAATTACTGCCACGCATTGCTCTGTTTATGTTAGCGAATGACAGACCCCCACCTAGCATATGTCTCTTGCTAGATTACATTTAGCAGGTATTTGGAAAGTCTGTGGAGGCAAGTGGTAAAGAATAAAATGTTCTACACTTAATTTATAGTAATTGAGTGATCAAACCAGGGAATTTATGGGTCTTATTTATTGTAGGTTGATTTGCCGAAACTTAATAACAGGGTATACATTAAATGCTCTTTTTTTGGTGAAAATAAAAAAATCCTAAAAATTATATCAGGATATTTTTACAAAAAAAAACAACAAAAAAACTCCACATATTTCATGTGTCTTATTAACAATACCAAATAGAGGGGGAAAAAAAAAAAAAAGCCACTGCAAATAACAAACACAAATCAAGAAAATGTTCCAGAGTTTTAGAAAAGTAACATTTTTATCCTGAAGGAAGACTAGTTACTTGGTCCCAGTAAGAAATTGTGATAACACCAGAAAAGGATCTAAAGAATAGTGGTTTAATTTTTAAAGTGGCTAATCAGAAATACTGTGTTTTAACAAAATGGCTCTTGTGGCTAAGTAGATCATAAAAATGAATGAAAATGATACTTCAACATTTTTCTTATCTATTTTCACACATTTAGATGCCATTTTCACTGGTTTTTAATTTGAGTTATGGATGGTAGTCATCGACCTTTTGCAAAAATGCATGCTATGTTCCCTCTCCCCAGAAAAAATACATTTGCACCTAATATTACAATTTTTGCATATTTCAGAGTTCTTGGATTTCCTTAAAGCACATCTGTGAATCCTACCATTATAGCTTTATTCCCCACCCCCCAGACTACTGTTCTACTATATTAAACATTAAAATTATTTTTAGAAAATTTGTGCCCTTCCAAGTCCCAAAGCTAGCGTACTAAATTTTATAAATGAACTCTAGGAAGTCTGTTAATGATTGTTGTTAAACTTGTAAATTTTGTCTTTCAAAATAAGTCAGATTTAAGACAAAACCTACTGAAATACTGTCAAGTAAAACAAAAATCAGAATTAATTTAATAGAAATTTAATGTACAATAAACATGCTTTGGAGAAAGTAATAAAAATGAAAAGGAAAAATATATTTCTAAATATATTTTTTCAAGACTTTTATAAAAAATATCCTAAGATGTTTATTTAAAAATTATTGTATATTGCTAATTCTGATGAAGGATTTAAAAAAATATGAACATTTCCTCTGAAGGGTCTAAATATGTGATCTATTTTTCACCACTTCCTCTCCCCTAACCCTATTTATAAGCCTTGTAAATAGTCATTTTTGCAGATAGCACAGTTGCAGTGCTGGAAACAGGATTTTCTGGTTGTGGGTTCTCTACATTTATTTGGCATATACTTATTGAACATCTACAATTTGTAAGTCACTGAATCAAGTGAAAGATAAAATCCTTTAGTAGGTTATTTACCTAAATTTATGTTTAATTCAAATCACAGTCCCTGGGTTGAGATGTCTTAAAGTGGGAACTATTGTAAGCCCTTTGCAAAAAGATTCGGTGTTAACCTTTTTTGTGGTCAGAACAACAGAAAACATTTTAACTTAAAATTTGAATAGCTATATAGTTCTAGCTAAGTCATACAGGTTTTATCAATACAGAGTATAGACCCCTCTGACAGACCACTTTTATTTTAGAATTGTGTCAGAGTGCACTGAATCCTGTTAGGCTTATTTTTTTCTAGTTTAAACCTTTCCACTAATTTTTCAATAAAAAGTGTTAAAATTGAATGTAATATTTGCTGTGAATTATAATGTACCTAAAAAAATCCAGAATTACTTATAAAACTTAGTACCTCCTAACTTCTGTTCCCAGTACTGTCAAATTTAATATACCTTTCTAGTGAGTCATTAAGTGAGGATTCTTTGGTTAGCAGTTTTCATTTTCAGTTTTTAGATAACCTCAGTCTGATGTGAAATTAAATTTGAATTGAATTAAGGATTGAAGCAATGCCCTGCTGCACACTGCCAACTGTGTTAATCTGATGTTTTCTGAACAAAAAATTAATATCTACTTAGGAAAGCCATTTTTCTGGAACGATTTAGTTGCAGAAGTTTGCATTAATCTTTTTCATCTCTCATCTTCTACTATACTAATGGGTAATATCAACACTTAATTGTCTCAAACTGTTAGATGTAAGTTACTTTTGCCTCCTATGTTTGTGACATTAAAATTTCCTTAAGTACAGCTTTTATCATGTCTTTCATGCTTAGAACTTTCAGTGGTGGTTTATTACCTTCAAAATAAAGATCAGATTTCATAATCTGGTTTTCATCTCTAGGTTTGATTCCATTTATTTTTTTTTTTTAATATATTTTATTGATTTTTTACAGAGAGGAGGAGAAAGGGATAGAGAGTTAGAAACATCAATGAGAGAATCATTGATCAGCTGCCTCTTGCACACCCCCTACCGGGGATGTGCCCGCAACCAATGTACATGCCCTTGACCAGAATCAAACCTGGGACCTTTCAGTCCGCAGACCGACGCTCTACCACCGAGCCAAACCGGTTTCGGCTGATTCCATTCATTTTCACACATTGCTTGATCCAACATCTGTGTGCAGTCATTACACTTACCTGTTATATTGGAAAGTAAACAAAATTGTACTTTTATTTTGTGGTTGCAGTCTGATATATATATTGTAGAAAAAAGAATTATGGTTAAAATGGAGTTTAACAATTGGAAATGCCAATAAGTAGCTTTTTTCTATTTAGGAATTCTGTGTACATCATTTATCTGGAATAATCTTTCTCCAGCTTTTTGTACGGCTACTTTATTTTCATTATGAGGGTTTGGTTAAATGTTTCCTCTTAGACCAAGTGGACCTTCTTGTTAATATTTATCAGAGCACCTTGTTTGTTTACCACTTAAATACTGCTAATTTACTGATTTATTAATCCCTAGATTTTAAACTGAGAGAAAGGACTGGAACTGTTTCACTTTCATTGCTTCCACTGCTTTGCACAGAGACTAGTTATTCAATATTTATTAAAGATACAAATAAGGGAACAAATGCTA